ACTTTGATCACGTCTTCTGACATTTCAGGGGTCTGAAATGGGTCTTGAAGCTTCACTGGAAGTATTGATAATAAAAAGAGAGAGACGACACTTATCTTTTTATTATCAATACTTCCAGTGAAGCTTCAAGACCCATTTCAGACCCCTGAAATGTCAGAAGACTACCCAGCCATAATTAATTTTCTGATGGTAAAGGAAGTGCAAAGAGCATGGAATTACTAGCAGAATGCACATGCCCTGTCCTATAAAACCTACCCAAGCAAGGATGTGGAGAGAGCTGGATCTGTCACTGCATTAACACCAATTTGCTTAAAGACCTTTGATTGTGAAGCTAAAAACTCAATTATCAAAACCATTTGGGAGTTTCATCAGCCCTTTAGATCATAGTCCAGTGTTGCTATCAAAAAAAACCCCAACAAACCCATAATAGAAGTAACTTGTTTCATATCTAACTTCTGAATACAAGAATGATATCATCCTTCCTAAACCCTCTGCCCCAGTCTTCTCCTGCATAATTGCCTCTTGGGTTGCAGAAGGTCCAAGATACAGAAGGAAGGTTCTGGGAAGACTACATTATGATTTTGAGTGCCATAGTTTTGATTCAAGATTTAGAACCAAGTACTGCTTTTCTCTCGTCTTCCTACAAGAGAAAGGCTTTTGTAAGGTGGGATAATACTTGGTACTTGAGTGATCACTGAGGAAAGGCAAGCCTGTTTTTCTTGTTGCAGTAACACAGCCAGTATTGTTAAGCAGGAAACCATAGAACATTCATTGCTATCAAACCCCTTATCTTGGAACAGGGAAGAAACAGAAAAGCATGTTTTTAGAAAAGGGCAGCTGAACACTGCACTCCTTACCTCTTCCAAAAGGAACTTCAGAATAAATTTTGAACAGTTATAAGTAATACACACACCCACCCACCCCACCCTCCAGGCTGCCAGAAAGAAGTACTGGGAAGCATCAGTCAGCTTAATCTGCAGGAGTGATAGACAGTCCTCTCTGCAAAAAACTCAAGGCAACTGTGTAAAAGTCCTGCCGTAGCGCAGATAACTCATTCAGCTAGCAAGGTCAGCAATAGCTGAAGTCGTGTCCATTAGCTACAAAGTCAATACATTTGCATCGCTGTTACAGCAATAAGGACACAAGGCATGTTCTTCCAGCAACAGTCATACTTCATTATGCTCTTTGGACTGCAAGTTTACTGTAAGTCAGTAGCTCTGGGACACTGAACAATTAGGATCTGTGTTATATGCACACAATGTTGTCCATTTTCATCCCAAACAATTTAAATAAATTCCTGAACAATCACTTACTGGATTTGTCAAAACAAACATTTTTGAGCAATTCATAGCCAAATGTGTTTATTAAGAAGTCCACATGAGAAGAACCAAACACTGCTCCCAATGAATAAGCTGAACAACGTCAGTGAAGGCTTAGTCATATTCAGGCATCTCCAGTTATGTCCTTTCACAGAGAAGCATTGTTCACACACCTTAAAGACTTCATGGAAGGCCAGGCACTAGCAGTTGGAATATATCAGCTTTGATTTCTACACTATTTGTAACAGTTTGGGGCCAAACACTTAAAAGTAGTATGTCATCTATTGCACATGTACACACTCTCTCATCTTTGTTAAGTCACTTTATAATGAAATTACAAGCTATCTTCTTGTTCAGAGATTGTCCTGAGCCATTAAATAATAACAACACATTAAACACAGAAGTAATGTCCTTTGAGACAGGCCTGTCCACAGATTTGATGCAGTAACCTGCATGGAATATCTGGAAACCAACATGTGATGGCTGCAACTCTGACAGAGCTGGGAGATTTACTCAGATGGCTTTTGCAAGATATCAGTGATAGGAAGAAGCTGAACTGTATTTTCACATTCCCTAGCTGCATTTTTTATTTAAGTTTTCAGCCAAGGCTTGTTAGATTAAAGAAGTTGCAGTAATTACTCAGACGCAGTTGCTTCTCACCTATCCCTCCCGTGAGGCTATTTAAGAACCTGAAGGGGTCAGCAGATAACCTCAACATTTTACTCTTCAAAAACTGTAAAGCACTACATGATTTTGAAAGGCATAATGTATTTCAAGATAATAAACACTTCAATTGGAGTATCCAAGACCTTATGTCAAACCACAGTACAGAACAGAAGTTTGTACAAAGTATTACCAGTTATTATTGAAATAAATCCTAATGGCTCTGTGCTCTTGGCAGTGTGATGTAAAAGCAGAAGCACTTCAAAGTATCATCGTGGTTTTATATTCCTCTTCGAGTTGAATATGTTCCTGGATTTTGAGAAATTCCACTTGATTGGTTGTGCAGGTTGGTGTCCTTGTATACAAACCAAACATTTCCTCCCCATAAAATCATATTAAGCAAGCCAAACACCTGTAGGTTAAGACAAAAAAGGTGACATTAAAGTTGTTTAAAAAAACCCACCAAAACACCAAAACTCGGAATACAACTCCAAAGCAAGCCATAAACAACTGCTATTTTTGGCACCCCTTTGATTTGTGCAAGACATTTCCACATGCTTTAGAGTATTATAAGCTATTTTAACTGACTTTTTAGGAAATCAGATAGTCAATTTATTCTGTCCTTTACATGGAATTAGAAAAGTTCTTTTCCACCACTCAGCACCTCTGCATATGCAGAGCACATGGTTAATTACTACTGGGCCAGTGAATAACTGCCAGAGTTTTGAAGAGCAGAATTCACTAGGAAGATCACACAGTAAGGCTCATTTGCCCTGCTGTGAAGTGTTCTTTCTATGAACATGAGCTTTATACCACTGTATTACAAGGAACCTCTATTTGATGGGTAGAAATTGTTTAATCACAGTTGATTGAAAAGCTAGGTTCAGCACCAAAACATGAAGCAGGAAGCATAGTGTTTCCTCCTTACTTACATCAGTCAATGAACCACTTGGGTGGCTCAGTAACGTATTTTATGATGCTCTCAGTTACAGACAGAAATAATACAGAGACTCAAACATGTCTGGAAAATCTAGCAGCTCTAGAGGCAGATCCTACAAGATATTTCTCTTAATTTCTTTGAGGAAACAAGTTTACTTTTAAAGAAAAAAAAATGGTTAGTGTTTACCACAGTATTAACGTGCCTGAGCAACTAATAACCCATGAAGAAATCTTAATGCATAAAGCAACAAGTGCAATCAGTAGAACAGGCCTCTCAGGTGCCACTGGCTGTTTTCTAACACATTTATTGTACCCGTATGGCAGAAGGCATACATACCACAGACACATTCAGAGTTCCCATGCTGGTTACAGAAGCAAAACGGCAAGTTGTTCCGGGTGCTTTGCAAGATTCAATTCCTGGCATAATGCTGGCCCCTGTGGACATTTTGATGCCAGCAAGTGCTTTTGCCCAAGCAAAAGTACTAACCAGCCATAGAAAGGCTGTTATGACAGTGATAGCCAAATCCTACACAAGAGAAGTACTTGTTATTAGGTTAAAAAAAAAAATCTACATGAATGTACATAAGAGCAAGGCAGAGACAGTATCAATTATATCACCAGAAGAATGTCACCAGTGCTAATGATCACAGGCAAATTTAGGCACTAACAGTGCTTTAATTACAACAAATTATATTCCATGTTGATAATTAGCTACAAAACTGTATGCCTTCTGATCTATCAAGCATAAGCAGTCTTACCCTTTGAAAGAAATCAGTTTCTAAAAATCAAATGCCTAGCACCTACATTATAGAAATTTATAGTAGAGTGGGGATTCTGAGGATCAGGGCTTTGGTATTCAAGGTGACTAAAATCCACAAGATAAATATTTCCCTCTACCAATTGCATCTGCACAGCAGGTGCTCTACACAGGGAAAATTCCCAGAGACTAACAAAGGAGGTTCTACCTCTGGAACAACTGTATATTCAAACACATCATAAAAAAGAAAAATTGTGATGGAGACACTGCATTTGAGAAGGTGGAACTTCATTTCACTCTGCTTCAATAACTGCATAAGGTACGATGCCATGAACGTTCAAGGGCTTCGGGTCTCCTTTTCTGCTTGAGTGCTGTAGTGACTAGTCCGAGATACTTGTGTTTATGCTCCATCTAATTTTTGGAACTACTGAATAAGTTTTTCAGATATTCTTAAATTAGTAGTATTTCTCATCTCTCTGGTTTCAAAAGGCAAAACATTAAAATATCTTAGTATTACTTACAGTTAGTGGAAACTATTTTGCCGATACACATGCCTATATCCAATATAAACCACGAGGGCAGCAATGCAGTAGAGGAATACCAACACTGAAAGCGTAACAAAGAACTGTGCAGAAGAGGAGAAGTTGCCCACGAGATAGATGTCAGTCCAAGTACCACCACAGTGTTTTGGATCTGGTGCACTAAATAGAACAGTATTCAGCCTGCAAAGATTGCATCCTTCATGCAGTTAGTTTGCTATACAGTAGAAACTTCATACAGTCATGCTTCACAACAACAGTGCTTCAGCATTCTAGTTGCTTAAATCTACTCTAAAAGACAATTTACACTTCTATAAGGTATCAATTCTATGAGACAAAGATTTGCCAAGATATCTGAATATTATTCCCCATCCTACATTGAGATATGCAACAGCAACTTCAGGAGAAGTATCTTAATCTTATCATTAGAGCAACTGAAGAAATAAACCCTGATTTGCAAGCAGACTTAACAACATTTTAGAGACTGACAGATGAACAAGGGGATCAGGACTTATAAGGCATCTAGTTGCATTCAGCTGCAAGAAAATACAAGCACAGGAAGTTCAATGAAACCTGTGTGACTAGCAGCGCCAACACACTTACCAGCACAGAATCATTTCAGATTCCCACTCTCCCCTCCAAGTGCTTTAAAATGCTGGGGTTTGTGACCAAATTCTATACTTCTGTAGTAGTTTTTACTAGCTGGCTTCTGTACTTACAGCTAAGCTTATTGAATACATATGGAACACCAACTCTGCACTTGTAACCATGTAAGCTGTAAGAAAAAAGAGGAAGTCTTCCTCCTTGTGCTCCAGGAAAGGAATTTGTCTCTACAAGAGCACCACAACAACAGTGGACTATTTAGGGGCTTTTATATACCCAACACACTCACCAAGATCATAGTGGAATAAACTGAAAAGTAAGTATTTTCCATTCAGTCTTTAAACAAAAATATAATGGCACATCCAAAATAATCTTATCTGGGCCTCCAAAGCAACTACAAATTAAGACATAGGCTGTTGAAAGAAATTGTAGTGTTTTGCTTATTAATTACCTTCTGTAGCATTCATGCACTGCTAAAATAGAGCTTAAGGTAGAGAGATACAAAGCAGTAATACAGCCTATTGCCGTTTCTACCTACTTCTTTGATAGGGCACTGACAACCACAATGCTTTGAACTATTACAACTAAATATTTATTGCTACTATGGAGCAAGCCAGATTCTGTTCATTCAGATGTACACAGTAAGTGCATACTCATAGGCAGACAAATTGGGGAAAAAAAGCAAATAATAAGTAATTATTATATGAGGGACAACCAAAGAGCTAATACTCACCTGAATGGATAAGCAAAAGCAGCTGTAACTGTTTTGTTTACCACATCTTCACAGGAAACTAGAAGGGTAGTTTCACCTTGAAAGCCTCCACATGTGGCAAAAGCAAAGATGGAAAAAATCTATAGGAATTGATACATAGACATATTGGTACACAGCTCTAGAGCTCAAAGGAAATAAACTCAACATTTAGCTGAAACAGCTAGTGAAGGCAAGAAATAGAGACAAAAGTTAGCAATGGTAAAGTATAACATGTTATCAAGAGGTAATGAAAATGCTGAATTTCTACAATCCAAAAATATGAGCAACGTCGCTAACAAAAGCCCATTTGAAAGTTCTTTTAGTTTATATTTTTCCTAGCTCTACTGCAAAAGTTTTTTAGGTTTGGTGTAGTGGTTTGTTTTTTTTTTAATGCTAAAAGACAGCACAGTACCTCTTACAGTTGGTAAGGAAAGTTTTTTTGGGAGTCCAACATCCATAACCGTAGATTAGAGTAGCTAGAAGATACATGCTCAGAGTATTGCACGTCAACTTGGCTAAGTAGCTTATTTTCCCTTTGTACACTAGCATAACCCTAAACCCCAAAAATCAGAACACAGAGCATGCAGCAGCACAAGTTACTATAACAAACTTGTCATTAACACATAGATTTTATGTATCTGCAGAACTGTTTTCTTCCCTCCCAGTCAGAAGACGTGTCTGAAGAGCAGCCTTGTGTGGAACACCCACCACCAGTGGCATGAAGCAGGGAGCAGGCAGCTCATCAGCACACTCCTCTCCAGGCCCAGCCAGCTAAGGCACAGGAGTAAAGCCAAGCCTAGAAAAGTAGAAGAAACTGCCCTGACAAGGAGAATGAGGCTTCCCCCATTCCTCCAGAGCCCCACTCACCCACTCAAGGACCTTAATGAAGCCCAAAGGCTCCAGGAGCAAACCAAAATCCATCCTTAAGCCAGCCATCCCAGGCAACACCAGAGCAGCCAGCAAGAGCCCACACCACAACCTGTCCATAGGTGCAGCACTGGCCAGGCACCCCCTTACATGGCCGGCCACTGAGCTCCTCCCTGACACACCCACAGTTGCCTCAGGCTGGGGCTCTTTAGCCCAAGTCAGAGGCCAGGGGAGGCTGGGCTTGGGGTGAGCCCAGCTGTGTGGGGTGAGCGCCACTGAGGACCTTGGCTGTGGGCTGGGGAAATGGACAGTAACTGCCACAGGAAGGAATGGCTTCGGCTATTTTGTGGGAGCAAGGCAGCAGTGATGTCCTTCCTTCCTGGGACGCTGAGAGGGCTGCGATGGGCTAAAGTGAGAAGGAGCTGCCACAACAAAGGCCATGAGTGCTGCAGTGTCAGGGCGGTGTGTCCTTGTGGCCAAGGCTTGCAGGAGGGATGGCAGGTAGCAGGCAGAGGATGGCACACTTCAGAAGATCATCCGTGCCTTACCTTGATTTTGGGCTTAGTGATTTTATTGGCAAACAAGGCAGAGGGTCTTGACAACTCATGTTCAATCGAATCTCATCAATTACATTTGATTTTTTAAGCTTTAAATATTTTTTTGTGGTTGTGTTTACTGTTAATACATTGATCTTCAGTGAAACTAAAGAGCTAAAGGTCATGTTGAAGAAGATTTGAGGCCTGTGAGAGGGGCTGCCATCTGCTCTCCTCCTTGACTGTAGAGCATGGCTAGCTGAGGCGGCCAACGGACACAGCAGTCGCTGCAGTGGTTTTCTGGCTCTCCTTCAAGATCTTCTAGAAGTGTCTTCTGGGATTGCTGGAGAGCTCCTAGGAACCCTCTGAAAAACATCAGGGTGCCTGATGCTGCTCTTGGGAAGGGATAGTAAGGGAGGCTATGGCTGTTTCTAGCAAGAGGTAACTGATCTAGCAGTTTCTAGCAAGCTCTATGAGCTGCTCCTGGCCAAAGGGAGGTTTTGTCCCAGCTGAGCCCTGTTAACACTGCCAGGTGCTGAGGAGATGTCAGTGAAGGTGCTGGCTTAGAGTGCAGCTCCTGTGTATAGTGAGTAGGTGCAGCTGTTTGTGCAGAAGGTGGCCAGCAGCCTTTCCAGAGCAGCATATGCATGCTCAGCTGTGGTGGTGGTGTGTTTGGGTCTCAGTCCCCAGCTCCATCTGGATCAGCTGTCCCTGGTTCACCAGAGGCCTTGGCTCAGACTTTGCTACTGAGGGATGATGCAGCTCTCCAGGCCTGGGGCTGGGAGGGGCACCTGGCATCTCTCTCTGGGGCTGGGAAATCCAGACTCCTTGCCTGTAGGAGGTATGCAAAGGTGGAAGGTGTGTGCCCTCAGGAGCTGTGGAAGGAGGTCAGCAGCTTACACAGCATCAGAGGTAATGAGAAAGGGATCAACCAGTCAATCTTCTCTGAGACCCTGAAGCTTCATTCCTATAGGAGGGGCAGGTGAAGTCTGTGCTCATTGGGTTAGGAGATGGAGACTCCCATGATGGTGAAGGCTGGAAGATTGTGACTGCTGGCACCAGGAGGATGGCCGCAGCTGCAAATCTGCAGCTACAGAACATTCAGTACCCTAGTAGCAGGCAGGGGGTTGAGAGCTTTCTCCCATGAAGCCTCCGTACCAGCTGAGCCTGAGCTACACAGGAACACCAAGGGGAAAAGGTGACTGACAGTAGAGGGAAACTTCCTCCTGCATGGGATGGAGGCTTCTACTTGCTCACCTGACCTGCTGTCTAAGGAGGTTTTTTGATCACCAGGATCCAGGATGCTGTGGAGAGGCAAGCTTCAAACTATTCATCACTGCTGCTCTTCCACATGGGCACCAACAGTGCTGCACAGGGATACCTGGAGCATTTCAAGCATGACTACTACATTGTTCTGGGGTGGTGGTCAACATCTTGGGGGCTCAGGTGGTTTTCTCCTCAATTTTCCCAGTGAAGAAGAAAGACTTGAGGAGGAGTGAAAAGATCCTGCACGTCAACAATTGTTTACTCAGCTGGTATTGACAAAAGGGATTCAGCTTTTATGACCATGGAACCCTCTCTGAAGACTCAGGACTGTTAAGAAAAGATGGGATGCACCTCAGCAAGTAGGGCAAAAGCATCTTTTCCAACAGGCTGGCCAGACTGAGGAGATCTTTAAACAAGGAGTGAGTGATTTGGCATCAGGGGAAGAGAGGAGGAGGATGATGATGACGACTCACATTAAGTGATAAGTGGTGAACTGGTTTAGTAAGCAAAGGGCACAGGATGACATGATTTCAAGGAGAGACTTTGAAAACAAGAAAACAGGGCAGAAGCTCCCCACCTCAAGTGTATGTATGCATATAAGGATGTGTCTACAGAACAGCATTATGGGGGAAGCTCTTATATCTCTTCTGGGAAGTCAACATGATACAATGCTTGTCTAAAGTGCCTGTATAGTAACATACACAGCATGGGAACAAAGAGGAGGCATTGGAGGTCTGTGTGTAGTTACAGGGCTATGATCTCATTTGGATCATGGAGACAGCATGGGATGGCTCATGTGATTGGAGTGTTGCCATGGTTGGATACAGGGTCCTTAAGAAGGATAAACCAGGATGGTGAGGTGCCCTTTATGTGAGAGAGCAGAAGGAAGGCATGAGGCTGTACCTCAGGATGGATGATGAGCCAGGTGAGAATTTATAAACACTTAAAATGAATAAATAGGCTTCTTGATAACATGAAAATGACATTGTATTTTGAACTATCAATGTTGATTTATTATTACTGATTCTGTTGATTCTAGTATCTGTAAATGTCTTTTAAATCTGATGTAACAGTAAGCTTGCTAGCATCACTACTAAGATAATTGTTAATGTATAAGTTTGCTGTTAAGATCAACTCATGATTAGTAACTAATTAATTAGAAAAAATGACCAGTTGGCCTGTCTGTTGGAAATCTCCAAGAATATGTGTTTTTGGGTACAAAGCACATGTGGTGCAGAAGAGCACCTGCATGGCTACCTGTGGAGCTTTCCATGACAGAGTGAGGCCATTCTGCAAGCACTCAGAGAGCTGGGCACAGAGTGCCAAGCCTCCCAGGACTCTAGCAGAGTGCACAGGTATCATCAAGCACATGCTAAATTTATTTTTTAAAACATGTTGTCTTAATTCTGTCATGGGAGTAGAGCACTGCCAGATGTATGGAGGCTTTTGAATCAAAAAAATGATCAGCCACTCCTTGGAGCAGGCTACTAAAACACTTTTAGTACAGTTAGAAATCATAGCAGGGTATCACAGGAATGGGAACCCCCAAAGTGGTAAGAGGGGCCTAAATCACCAGTCTGCAGAAGGGCACCTTGCATTTCCCCATGAAGGTGACAATGCCTGTGAGGGTCTGGACATCCTGTGTGTGCTCTGGCATGGTCTTGGACACAGCCTTGAGAACGCTCCATCTCCTGCAAATGCATTGCTCTGTGAGCCATCAGCCCTTTAGTATGGCAGGGGCAGAGCAGTCTGCCAGAGTCTTCATCAGGAGGCTTTGGGGGTGCTTTAGATATGCTGAGCAAAGGCTGTCTGAGTATCTCCAAGGTAAGGTTTAAGACAATAAAATTAGTTATAATGAATTTGTGATTTGACTTTGTAAGCTGCCATTGACTGATGCTGCAAGGGGAGAACAGTAAGCTGTGGTTTTGGTGCTGAAACTAATCCCTCTCTAAATGTAATGGAGTTAACCAATGGGTGCAAGACCAGAGCAGAACGTTGTAAGTCTCCTAGGTTCTCTTTTATGGGGATATTGCAATGGTACAACTAAAATGTGCTTTAGTTTGGGCTGTGTAGGTCTTGTAGGATCAAAGTCCAGTGTGGAACTGACAGTCATTTTTCTGTATTTCATGGTGGTGTTACTAAAGTAGCTGGTAAAATGTTCTCTGATCTTGTAAGGGTCTGTCAGACTTAAATGAGCAGTGTCTGATCCAGGAAACATAGCTTATGGGAGACTACCTATGCTCCCTACTCTTCATATAGTACATGAATCTCAGAAAAACAAACCCCATGTTCCAGGAAAGCAGTGCTGAGGGTTCAAGCCACCTTGGTTAGTTTAGCTGTCTGAATAGCTAGTGCCTTTAAGGAGTAAAATAGGAATATTAAAAAAGGGACAGAGCAAGATAAAAGATGGACTATTTATTTGCTCATCATCATCCCTAAGCAGGGACCTTTGACTGGATCTCAAGAACAGAAGGAGAATCTACTGCCTTTGGAAGAGGGGCCAGGTCTCTCATGAAGACTATAAAGATGTAGTGGAGTTATGCAGAGAGAACATTAGGAGAACCAAAGCACAACTAGAGCTCAACTTGGCTACAGCTGTTAAGGATAATAAAAAATGTTTCCATAAATTCATTAACAACAAAAGAAAGATTAGGGAAAATCTCCCTCCTTTATCGGATGCAGAGGGAAACATAGTACCAAAGGATGAGGAAAAGGCGGAGGTGCTCAACACCTATTTTGCCTCAGTCTTTAGCAGCGGAACTGGCTGTTCCCTCAACACGCAGACTCAAGAGCTGGGAGATGGGGAGGGGAAGCCGACTGAGTTCAGCACAGTTGAAGAGGAGGTGGTCAGAGACCTGCTACACCACTTGGATGCACACAAGTCTGTGGGACTGGATGGGTTACACCCAAGGGTGCTGAGGGAGTTGGCAGATGTGCTCACCAAGGCACGTTCCATGATTTACCTGAAGTCCTGGCTGACTGGGGAGGTCCCATTGGACTGGAGGGTGGAAAATGTGACACCCATCTACAAGAGAGGCAGAAAGGAGGATCCAGGAAACTATAGACCTGTCAGTCTGACCTTGGTGCCATGGAAGGTCATGGAGCAGATCATCTTGGGTGCCATTAAAAATCATATAATGGACAACCAGGGGATCAGGCCCAGTCAGCATGGGTTTATGAAAGGCAGGTCCTGCTTGACAAACCTGATCTCCTTCTATGACAAGATGACCTGACAATTGGATGAGGGAAAGGCTGTGGATATTATCTATC